CACTCTTAGAGCCACTGCTCTGGTTAATCTGCTTTCTGTGATTTGCTGGTTGTTTATCAGAAACAAGTGCCTCTTAGGAGACTCTTAGGAATGTTTTTTTCCTTGTGTTGCATTCTCTGATTAGGAGAATAAAAAATGCCTGCCAGGTAAACCTACAATCTCCGTTCCAGGTTACATCTCTTCTCACTGCAGCTAATTTACAGGTTGTTACGTGCTAGTGTGCTATGGTGTTTCAGCTCCATGTGTTTAAAATGGCCTTTAGATGTGCTCAGACTTTCTGCAAAATTCCAGCCTCTGAAACATCTCTTCATCCCTGACATTTTTCTGTTCTTGTTTTTATAATAGCTGTTGTCAATTTGCTTTGCTTTGAGATCTGTACTGGAGAGAGGTCTGTAGTTCCAGGTTACAATTACCTGAAACTAGGTTTTAGTTTGCTTACTAAAAGAAGGCATCTCTTTTTTTGATACTAGGTGATGTATTTACCTTCGTTTCTTTGCTTGCTTTGTTGGTTGTAAACTGTTCCAAAAGAGCTTATGCACTGTTACCGTGCACTGGGTTTTGTCCTTGAAAGATAAGCATGACAAAGTTTTCATGGGCTACAGAGAAGGGATAATTTTAAATAAATTTTTTAATGGTAGCAAAGAGACAATGTTCTAACTGCTTTTAAATATAAGGACCTAACAACGACTCACCCAATACAAGTAAAGTCTTTATTCTTCTGCAAAGATGGATCCTTTCAGAGTTTATTACTGACAAATGCATAGGAGATTAACCTGTTTACTTAATGGTAATTTATAATGATATTATAATCTGCTCTGTGTAATGCTCTCTTATCCAGAGGAAATGAAAACAACTCTAGTATGAAGAAACCCTATTGCTGTGGGTGACATCTAGTTGCCCTCGTTGATATTACACACTCGTTAATGGAAGTATTCACCATTTCACTCTGCAGGAGTCCCTCCTGAAGACTTTACGTGTGTGGGCTAGACAATCAATTTCCGGAAATATGCTGTAGCCAAGGACAGAGAGGTAGTGCTTAGATTTTCAGTGTGCTTAGGCAAGGCCCCACCAGGTAATATTTAGTGTTATGACATCAACAGCGTGAAGGTGATGGAAGATGTCAGTGCATCCAGCCCTTATTTTTGGCTAAAGCTGATTTTAGAGGGGGCAGTCAAAGGAACATTGAGCATGTTTTGGAAATCCTCCACCGAGCAGTCTTTTCAGCACCATAGCTTAGTGGTGAAGTTCTTGCTACAGCCAGGAATAACAAAACAGCAGGGTGCTGATCGCTGAATGAAAACAACATAAGACTCTCCTCTTGGCTGATATGCCTTCTGGAGGGAGGGACATCCATATGCAGCTTGATCAGGGGCACGCCAGTCATTCTGCAAAGCCAACTTGTTTGTCTTTGCCATATCCCTGGAGCAGGGGTTCTGAGCAGTCCTTTTCCCAGCTGGGAAACAAATGCACAAAGCAATTTTTACCTATTTATTTTTAATGGACTCTTATGGCTTCCTTAAGGTCAGCACACAAAGTCAATACATATATGCATTAGCATGACATGATCTAACCTCAGGTTCCCTTCAGAGCTCTGGGTGGGTAATCTCAACACCTGAAACATCCTCTCCTTCCCCATTGAGACCCCACCTGGAATACCGTGTTCAGCTCTGGAGTCCCCAACACAAGAAGGACATGGAGCTACTGGAGCGGGTCCAGAGGAGGGCCACAAAGATGATCCGAGGGCTGGAGCACCTCTGCTATGAAGACAGGCTGAGAGAGGTGGGGCTGTTCAGCCTGGAGAAGACAAGGCTCCAGGGTGATCTTATAGCAGCTTTCCAGTACTTAAAGGGGGCCTACAGGAAAGCTGAAGAGGGACTTTTTCCAAGGGCCTGTAGTGAAAGGACAAGGGGCAATGGCTTTAAACTGAAAGAGGGCAGATTTAGATTAGATCTAAGGAAGAAATTTTTCACTCAGAGGGTGGTGAGGCAGTGGAACAGGTTGCCCAGAGAAGTTGTAGATGCCCCATTCCTGGAAGTGTTCAAGGCCAGGTTGGATGAGGCTTTGTGGTGTAGTGGAGGGTTTCCCTGCCCATGGCAGGGGGTTGGAGCTAGATGATCTTTGAGGTCCCTTCCAACCCTAACCATTCTAGGATTCTATGATTCCATGTCCCCTGCCTAGTGAGGATAACAGCTGGCCGTTTCAGCTAAGGATGATATTAATGTCTAAAATACAGCTTTCCCAAAAGTCTCTGGAAACAATGTGGATGACTACTATCAGCAGAGAAGACAGTATATTATGGCATCTGATCATTATTAGCCAGCTGGACTGAGTTGAAGATGATGAACTAATTAACTAATGAACTCAAGGTACCTATCCTGCCTACAAGAGGCAGGCCATTTCCTCCTGGCTGCGGAAGATGCAACGGCGTCCTTGGTACTGCAGCCCAGGCTGGTGAGCAACAACTGGTGACCCCGACGTGATACATCTGAGACCCTGAGAAGCCCTGACTCCCTCGCCGGAGCTGAGAGCCCAAGCTGAGAGCCCGAGCCAAAGGAGCCGGAGCTGGGAGCCTGAGCGAGAGTCCTTTGGTGAAGAAGGTAAAGCTGCAAGCCCCGATGTGGTATTTGCAGGAGGGAAGTGTGCTGGAGTTGGATGAATGGGCCGGGTCTCTGCTCACCTTTAAAGCCTTCGTGAAAACAAAAAATGGTAAAACAAAAAGGGGGAATTATGGCATCTGATCATTATTAGCCAGCTGGACTGAGTTGAAGATGATGAACTAATTAACTAATCAACTCAAGGTACCGATCCTGCCTACAAGAGGCAGGCCATTTCCTCCTGGCTGGGGAAGATGCAACAGCGTCTTTGGTGCCGCAGCCCAGGCTGGTGAGCAACAGTATATGTATGTTGCTATTCCTTTGTAGTTGAGCAAAATGGTTGGAAATGAGTTAACATTGATGAACGTGCAGATAGCTGAACATGCAGAAATGCAGTAACACATTTGCCACGCAGCCTGCAGTGTAGTTAGCTTTTTATCTGATTTGTTATTGATACTGCTACTGTTGAGTCTGTGCTTGGGCAGGAAAAGAGGAGGATCCAAAGGCTCTTGGATCTTTTCTTATATGTAATTTAATCAGGTGTGCTGATACTTTGATATATGTAGGCCAGATGAGACTTAACAGACAACCTAATAGACAACTTAACCAGACTGGCTCAGGAACAAGTATTATCTCTACCTGGAATAAATTCTCATTGGAGTTACTATTTATTTTCCCTTTTCCACCTAAATGATAGTGCAAATTGATGAAAGCTGTTAAAGGTCTTACTAATTACAGCTTGTGTTTACCTTTTCCAGAAACTCCACGCTGAGAATACACCAGACGTGCTGGAAGCACTATCTGACTACCCCTGGGTCAAATGATCTTCCGTAAGTTTGCTGAACAGGAAAGGATTAAACTATGAACAAGGCAGAATGAGATGAGTAATAGGGTTGAAAGCCTTTGATCTAGGCCACTAAATTCAGTCTAACACTGTTAGAAGTTTTGTGCATGGTTGTGAAGGGATTTTTTTTTTTTTTTTTAAAGTCATAAGCAGATAGTTGTTCAACTTCAAATGGAAAAAAAGTGGGAATTAGCTGTCCTTTGGTAACCTCCTCCTGGAAATCATTTGCGTCTGAGAATTATTTCTTAGCCCAAATGAAGTTAGTTGGGAATCTGGGGGAGCTTCTGAGGAGGCAGATTTATTATCCAAATATGCTTGGGTGTTAACAGTCTCAGCAGACAGTGTTGGGGTTGCCTTCATTCATAAGTTTGTCCTAGGAAGAAGCCTACTGCTGGGAGACCTGAATTACTTCTACATCTGTTAGATAGGGGTTGGTATTTCCATTTCCCTAACTTTCAATATCATCTCTCTAATTTTCTAGATAAAGAAAAATAAACATATGCTGTTGATTTTGGTAGCTACTGAACTTGCTGATGGCTTGAAGAGGATAAATTTGACTGTGTCAGCTAAGGTGTGTCCAGTATTGCCCAGTTTTAAGCCCACAAGAAATTTTATCACCTTTCATAAGACAAGCAGGCGTGCTCAAGTTATTGCTTAAGCAACACTTTGTTAATATAATGTTTTGCAATTCAACTTGCTATTGAACAGGCAGGGCAGGCTAAATGAAACAAAGGTAAAATTAGGGGTGGCGGAAAGATACTGGATCTTAGACATGCACATACCGTGTAAATTTAGGGTAAATTAAACAGCTAGCTGCAGAGCTTAGAAAAAGAAAAAAAGACAAAAAAATGATTGTTGATATTTCCAAATGTTATTGGGAATGTCAAAAAAAGACTTCATATTTAGTTTGGACTTGTTGCATAATGCTATGTTGTCCAAAAGTAGTTCTGTATCTACAGACAAAGTGCTTGCTACTGCAGATCACAAAAATGCTGTTAGTGGTTGGGAAGAAAATACAATGTAGCCAGTTAACGAAAGAGCTTGATCTGTACAGAAAATTATTTTGAGCAGATACACACATATATAGAAAGCGAGATTAATTTAGAGACCTTTGTCATTAAAGCAGATTTTTGTATGGTTTTGTGTGGGATTTAAGGGGGATTAAATGTTTGACATCACTTTGCCTGCACAGACTATGTTGAAGGGGTTACTGAGCGGGTGGTGGAGAATTCAAATACACGCCTATGCTGAAAGCGTGGAAGCAATGGATCAGACCGCAGCCTGGCCAAACAAATTGCTCTGTCTACTACATTTCTAAAAGCAAGGTGCTTCTGGTTTGACAGCAGATGCCGCAGGGATGTAGAGCTGAAGGAATTTCTATGATTTGCCAAAATATGAGGGGAACTCGGCGAGGACATCAGAACTGGGATGCCCTTGTCTTCTGTCTTCAGTGATGCCTTCCTTCACGTGCATCTTTTGTATGCTATGCTGTTTCTAAGCACTAAAAATAAAAAGTCAGCAAGGTGGATTGGCTGATCAGGTGCATTTCTCTTTTGGAAGAGATGGTCCTGGTCATGAAACTTCTATTCCTCACCTGCCTGTGGCCGACAGCAGTGCTACACAGTTCTCAAAGTCAGCATCACCATCTTCATCGGCAACAATTCTCATTCTTAAGAAAGCATAACAGGTAAGCAATATCCTCCCTCTGTCTGTGTTCGTCTGATAAACTTTATGCTGTCAGCCACTTTTCCACGCACCCTTTTTGTTCACTATTGCAAAATAGCGCATATCCAAATTTTGCCAATTTCTGCATTTAGAGTATGTATAGTATTGATAGAGTGTTCCCAAAAAAGAAATGGTGAACTATTAATTAATTTTTCATAAGCAGACATTTCATATTGTGATTTCATGCATGCTTCATATATATGCAGGTATGTGCACACTCACACCCACACACAGCTCTCTTAACTTGTGTGATACCAGGCTACTATTGTGATGTAGCAAGTATTCTTACCCTCTCACTCCTGTTACAAGAAGCAGAAATGCCTTCCAAATTTCCATGCCAATGTTGTGAAGTGACTCTCATTATCTAAACAGCAGAGTAGCTACACTATCAAAATACAGAAGATATTTTTATGCCACTAAATGAGATGAATTGTACCTTACTTGTAGTGAACACACAGTATGTTCCCTTTTTGGAATATACTTACGCTCTTAGACACTGAAGGTTGTGGCTGTTCCTAGTCTTTCTAATCAAGTAACCGGTTTAAAACGAGTAATGATACAAAGGTTTTTACATGAAAGTTTCTCTGCAAAATGTTAGTCCTTTTTGCCACAAATGCAATTTCACATCTGCCATGTGAAGTCTCTGAATGTGTTTCCAGCTTAATCTAATAGTGTGTAAACAGACCAATGACTACGGTCATAACCCAAGCAAAATCTCTCTTTGTTGAGAGATAGGAGAAATTGTAATAAGTAGCTCTGTTTAAGGAAGAAGGAGGGATACAACTGTTACATTTTTTTTATGTACTTGACTCCCTATTAAACTGGGCAGGGGAGCTGGTAGTGTATTCATATGATTACACATATTGAGGAAAAGTGACATAATTAGACTCCTCTGTTATGTTTAAGCTGTTTTTAAAGTTACATGCTTTGTAGCAGGGATGCAGCTGTTTATCTTCTGTATCACTTCTTATGTGATAATCCAGCAGTGACATATCTCTGAATCCCTACATGTCTTGATAAAATCATGTTTAAGCAATGCAACAGAACATATCCCAGTGACACAATGGAGGTGCCTGGAGATGCTATACGGCTCAGTTCTTCTGGATTTCAACTCAAGGTCACAGGTTCAAGTTTGATCTTAGCCAAAAGCTCCTGAAAAGAACGGCTATTCAGCACACTGTTTCAAACTCGCGGACAGTTTCGGAGTGAGTGCTAGTGCTCGATTATTTGAAAAAGCAAAACAAAAAGAGCTAGCCCTAATATCAAAATAAGGTCTAGCCTGGTGCTTTGCTAGTCTCCAGAAGCAATTAAGACTCAAATGGAAGCAGAATGAAATATCTTCTTATTGCTGTTGTGGTAAGGAAGGTCTATTTTAAGCTCAGCTGATACACTTTTGTCAGTGATAAAAGAAACATACGCAACTGTTGTTTGCATTTGTCCTGTTCTGCAGTAGCTGCGAGGAGTTGCTCCATCACTGGCTTAAAAATTCACAAAGTGGGAGAAAAGCCTGGTGGTAGCAGACAGCATATTTCGTGGCAACCTGCTGGACACCCTTTGCTGACCTCTTGCCACAGGACAGCAGTAACAATACTAGCACAGTGTCCTCTCCGTCTTCACAGATCTTTACTAACACCAACAAATGGATCCATACAGTTGTGTGAGACAGGCACAACCACATTCTCAGATGATGCTGACTGGTGTAGCAGATTTCTTTACACAAGGCAATGCTTTGGCCTTCCATGTCTTCCTAGGCCCTAGTGATTTGGAACTGGGAAGAAGACTGCAGAATCTGAGCCACAGACGATCCCAAAGCTTAACAGCTTCAAATCAGCTTTCCTGTGGAAAGGATCTAAATACGTTTAATTTCTTTGTTTGATTCTCTGGGTTTGTTTCTAAAGGCAGCGTTATCCTCCAGGACATTGCAACAGAGTCTGACTTTCCACCAGCCTCTTTTTCCTTCTGGGGAAAAACCTTTCAGCCAGCACTAGGGTTACTAGGGACAGAGCTGACAGATGGCCTTGGTTAAATGGGTGGCCTTTTAAAAAGAATCCCATGTGAAAATGTTACTTAACCTACAAGTTCCACTGTTTTAATAGAGTAACCCAATTCTCCCTCCAAAGCTATTTGTCTGCATTCTCTTGTAAAGAAGATTTTAAAGCATTAACCAAAAGTACATGAGAAAGAGATTATTCTCATGGTCCATTTCCTACAGCAAAGAACAAAACATTTGACTATCAAAATATTAGGCTTTTTGACAGTGCATGTTGCTGATCTTACTGAGCACTTGGAAATTCATTTTTATGAGAGAGAACTGTGCAATTTTAATGCTTATATTTATCTGGGTTTCAAAATTTGATAAATATGTAAAAGTTTCAGTGATCACGCTGCCTATATAACTCCACAGACTCTCCTGGGAATAAGATTTCTGTAACTTCTAGTTTTTGTGTACCTTTCATTTGGTAGTAGCTAGAGTATCTCAGGGACATAACAGTGGAAAGAAGTTTATGGCCATTAAATCTAGGGTCCTTCATGGTATTCTTTTCATAAAACGGTTCTTCATAGTAGTATTTTCAGAAACTTACCTAGTTTCATTTTGAATGTGATGAGAATTTTTTTCCGCACTACCCCCATACTGCAGTAATAAAAGAAGTGTGCTATCTTGTATACTGAATTAATGCAACTGAAATCAAAACCTCTCCTAACTTTCATTCCTGAGACATGAGTTTCAGACTTTTCAAAATCTATCATGATGAGGATGGTTCTGGAAATGTTTTTATATCTTCCTGAATACCCAGAGGTGCTCCAGCTTTCCTCCAGTCTCCTACCAAGGAGTCACCTTATCTTTAGTTACACAGGGCATTAAAACAGAAAAACAGCCACACAGGCTCTTACCAAAGGTCCGTGTGTTATAGTGACCTGTTTCCAACAAAGCCTGTAAGCACAAGTTTGGAAGAATAAGACAGGGCAACTTATCAGATATTTCCCCCTAATACTCCCCTGCACATATCCAGTCACCAGAATTCCCTCAAAGACTTCCTGTTTTGAATGCAGTTTATGCAGATTTAGTGATCTTCGCTGTATTTTTTTTCCATGAACTTATTCTATTTCTCCTTGCACCAGTGTGAACTTTTGATAACCTGGTAAGTTAGACAACCAGATGGGATACTAACCACATCACTCCCATGAATGTCACTGGTTATGGAACTACACTGATGGCATTACGTGGTTAAATGCTTTAATGAAAAATGATCCAACTACCCTTGAGCAGTCCTTTGATCTTTCTCTCAGCATTATGTGTTCAAGGTTAGGTAGGAGCAGCTAAATTTGTCTTTAAAAGCCTGTCACATGTTTGTCCACTGTTAAAGAATTCTGAATTAGCTGCCTTGGTTTTGTAGGCACTGACAAGCTCTTAGGCTTGTAGGCTGTTAGGCTCTTAGGTTTTGTAGGCACTGTAGCTCTTTGAGAGCTCTGTCATACCAAGGCATCGAGCCCTGAGTCCATATAACAGTATTGGGTAGTGAAATGTCCAAATATCTCACTTTTTTCATCCAAAGAGCTAATGCTTGCATTAACTTCCTATATAAGTGCCAGCAGGGGTGTCTTCCTATGTGATCTGAAACACTTCAAGTGCTTTTTATCATCTTTGTGGGAATTTAATTATAGATTACCATTTCATTTGCGTAATGTAAAATGTTGCCTGGAATACAGCTGTGTAAAGCAGGGCTATTATAACTGGAAGTAGTAGTTTCTGAGACTGACAAACTCGTATTTATCATTGCCCAGATCTATGGCAATACCAAGCCAGCTGTCAAAGTTCCCTTTATTGCTTCTACCCCGGTAGGTAAAGAGAGATTTCCTTTCCTTACGCACATGTGGACTTTTCCTCTCAAACACCACAGCCTGACATATGCCATACAATGAATATGCAGAATCAATGACTACATTTAGGCTTCTAGATTATGGAGCACTGGTCAAAGCTGTGTGATAGAGAGACCAGGGTGCCAGGCCACTGAAATATAATCTGTGTCTTTGCTGTGCTTCTGTGAGAATGGAAAGTATATCTTGACTGGAAAAGTCTCGGGAAGCTTTTCCGAGACCTAGGTTAGTTAGAGCTCTCTTCTGCTTTTTAATGGAATTGGTGCCACAGGAAGGAGCACTCAAGAGAACATCTGCTGATGATTTCACAATGCTGTGGTGTTCATCAATAGTTAGATATGAGGCTAGGATTTCTTGGGAGTAAACAAATACATACATGCAATTCCCTTTGAGTCATCAGTTAAATAACTTTAATGCTGCAGTGAGGACAATTTAATACTGTAACTCATAGCCAAGGAGCAACATCTGGAGTCCAGATGCTGATGTTAAAGGAATATCTGCTGGAGAACACTTCTTAGCCTTGGATGGGGGAGGCAGTCAAAGAGGAGAAAAAATGTGAAGTGGAAGTGTTTTCTTTTTTAATTATTTTAGAAAATTTTGTGGATTTTTTTTTAAGTTTCGGTACCTTTACACATGCAACGTTACCAGTGTCCATGAAATTAATTCCAAGTACCATGAGTATATATCTCTGCCCATGACAGGGAGGTTGGATTAGATGATCTCTAAGGTCCCTTCCAGCCTATGCCATTCTATGATTTAAGTCTGTTTTCCTTTACAATTAAAAAAAAACGTATTCTGCCAAAGGGAGGTATTGACAAAAAGATGCAGCATGTTTGTAATGAAAGTGCTATTCTGACTCCTACAAGATCTTGCCTAGCTTGAAGGACCACTTTTGATAGCAGCTAGAAATAATTATAGTCACTCCACCATTTTTATATAGAACATCAGCTTGAAGAGGCACAAAAGATGCTTTTCATATAGGCGGCATTTCTGTTTGTTTTGTCCTTATTCAGAAAAACAGAAGGAATACCAAAATCCCATAACAACTCTTCTCAGTGGCTCATTAAGAAAAAAATTCCTGCTCTGGTATCTTATGTTTTGCCTCTCCATGACTAGGGAAAGTCTTCCTCAGTCACACGCTTGCTTTGTAATAGATGTATCATAGTTTCGGCCTGCTTCTTCCAGTGAAATCATCGGAGCATCAAGCAAGTATTTTCCTTGGCATGTCAATGACAAATAACCTAATGATTCCAAACTGTATTAGCTGTGCCATGGCATTCTGAATGTAATTTATCATTTTCTCTTATACTGGTTCCCAAGTAGCAGAATTTCCTCATATACCTGTTGCAAAACATTGCAGGTGTTCAGTTCTACCGCCCATTCTACTCTGATACAGGCTTGCTCTGTGGTGATTTTAATTCTCTGAAGGATGAGGTTTCATTTTTAGCATCCACATAATTTTCAGACTTAGAAAACTAAAGTCTGTATTTGAAATGCCTGATAGGCATTCTCATTGCCCTGATAATTTGGTTCAGATGACACTGCTAGAGACATTCAAGAATACTCGGGTAAATTAATTTGTTCAAGCCCAATGGTTCTCAATAGCCCAGAAGCCACCTCAGCATTTCTGTAACACAGCATTTTTAAAGTAATTTACTGGGCTTCGTTAGTAAGAAAAAAGGGGGAACAGGAGGAAAAAAAAAAAAGTAAATATAGGCACATACTATATCCTAAGGTATTCCATACCTCGTCTTAAGCAGTGTTTGACTACAGGGCAAACCTTCAGAACAGATTGCTATCATTCAGTCTAAAGTAATAATCAGAGTTGCTGGCAGCAAAGTCCCAGAGAACCACAGAAGGCATGAAAGAAATTATGTCTAGGGAGAGTCCCTTGCCTGTGGCAAAGCATCTGTATTTAAGTCATTCCTACAAATACATGTCTAACCTATTCTTGAATAGCCTGAGTGAAAGGAGTCTCAAAACCTGCTCGGGCAATGTGTTCCCATGTTTCAATTTTCTCACCATTAGAAAGGTTTTCCTAATGTGTGCCACAGATCTCTCTTGTTGCTGCTATTTGTCCTAGCAAATAGCTCCGTGGAGAGTGAACATGGAGCAAAGGGCCCTGAAAAAGCTCATTGTGTTCTGACGACTATGATGTGTCCCCTCAGTCTTCTTCCTCTAAATCAAATTACACAGGTTCTTACAATCTTCCCATGCCGTTCCTGAAATGGGGGCCCAAAGCTAGGCATAATTCTCTGGCTAAGCTATGGCTAGTTCTGCTCTTACTTGGAGCCAGCCACTTGGAGCAGGACATGCAACAAAGAGTGGAAACTGGAGGAGGCATCATGGCATTTTCCTTGTAGCAGAACCGAATAATGTAAGGGATTCTTTCTAAAGGCTGTTCCCCCAGCTGCCAGATCTGGCTGTAGATCTTGTCTGTGTTTTAAGCCAATACCTTTGTGATGTGGGTATGTACAAGGCCCTTCTGCTGCCTGCGTCATGGTTTCTTTTTACAGGAAAAATGGAAAAGGAGTCTGCACTGTGATGGGCATCTGCCGTTCATTTTAAATGCAGGGTCAACACTTGAGATTGCCATCTGAAGGGCTTTAGTCCATTCTTGGGCATGTGAATTTTCCAGTGGAGTTTGGGATGTTGTGCAGTATGTTCTGTGAAGACAAGAAAATTAGCAGCAGTCACCAGAAAGAAGTACAGAATTCCTGGCATCCTGCTTAGAGCACAGGTTCATCTGTGTTGCCTTTGTGCTACGCAGAGGCTCGGATACGTGTCACAGGGGGCAAAATGCAGAGACGGGGCTCTCCGTGCAAAGAAATGCCGCATGTCTGAGCAGCAAATAAGGGGATGAGCTAATGAGTAACTTGGCCAACTCTGAATGTTTAAGACGATCTTAAAAAAAAAGTCCCTGGATGCAGGATCATCAGTTTCTCGGTCCTTTGAAAAAGTAATGACTCATTGAGCTCCTAGGGAAAAAAAAAGATTTATAATAAAAAGTATAATTGCCTCTGTAATATGGATAATGTATGAAGTGGTTTAAAACCATGGATATATGGTGTTATTTCCAAGTCTGAGTTGAAAGTGGTTATGTGAATAATAACATTTTTTCTAACGGCTATAATCTCTTATTTAAGGATAGATACAATCTCTGAGGGGAACGGAGATGCTCTTCCTGGGACTTTTTATATATAATCGGTGTTCCTCAGAGATCTAGGCACCCTCATACCTGATTTCTCTACCTTTTCCAATATATCTTTCTCCAACTTTATTAGCACAGTTGTTTCCCTTGTCATACCACATTCAACTGTCCGGGATTCTTGGGTTCCTGCTTCATTTAACTAGCACTCTGAATGTCAGGCAGGAAAAAAAAATGAAGTTTCTTACATTTTTTTTTTTAAACATAGCAAACGAGAAATTAAAATGAGGAAACTTGACAGCACCAAAGTACGGCCACTTAAATCTGAGCAGCTTCTTCGCATAGAGGACCATGACTTTGCACTGAGACCTGGATTTGGAGGTAAGCAGCACGTGCCTGCTCTGTGCTGGTCAATAGTTTATCCTCTGTCTGGAAGTTTACTTAAACTCTGTCCAGCAGTGTCACTTAAAATTAAATGACAGACCACCTCTTTCGTTGTGCTCCAGGAAATAAAGAAAAAGAAATCCAGAAATACTTGAAGGCAAGGGACTTTTTTGTGTTTAGCACATCAACAGGAGACACTCTGCAAATTGTTTCCTTTTCAGAACTAACTTAAAAAAATATTAGAATAGGATTCTTTGAGAACAGTGATTTCAGTATCCCTGTAAACTGCATAGGCTAGCAGCAATTAGCAAATTACTTAGTCACCAAATTTGTTTTGAGATTGTGAGTGAATGAGCCGTGAATTCCTAAATCTGTTTGCTCCGTACAAAATTTGAAAGCTACCCACAGGTCTTCCATTTATTAAAATGTCGTTTCTGTGTTGTTGGGCACTATGATGATTGTTTCTTCATTTAACTAAATTGCATGTGGATAAAGGGAGTATTCAATGGGATGTTCACAGTTTGGATTCAATTTTGACTCTCCTTAATGAAAGGTAAAATGAGAAAGCTGCCCCACTAATAAGCTTTGTCCAAGCCTTTGCGTCACCAGTTCCGTGTTTATGATTCATGCAAATCGACTGAACTGGTCTGGAATATGAAGCCAAAATACAATATATGAGGACAAATAATCAGCTGTGTAAACAAACATAAATCTCAGAGGCTAGCTGTAGTCTGTGGAGCTATTCTTGTTGACACCAGCTGCTGGGATCTGGGGCCTGGCAAGCACGCCAGGAGGGAGACTTGGAGTAAGAGAAGGCGCTCTGGATGCACTGGGAGAATGTGAGAGGGTTTCTTGTTACCCTAGGAATTCTGTCTTGTCAGAGAGCAAAAATTTTGCCTGATTTTGAACAACAGTTGAGATATGTCTGTTTTTTGACAACAAAAGTTGGGATAACTCTTGCCTAATACCTGTCTAGTCTAATATCTGTTAGTCTGAACATCTTGTTACCACTGCTTTACCACACAAGGAATTTACATTTTTGAGAGTGTTATCTGAGAAAAAAAAAGTAGCATTTCCATGAAAGCAAACAACAGTTCAGTACTTTACCACTGCATCATCCTAGAAAGCAATACTTATGATGTACATAAAAGCAGCTTTCAGAATATACCCTGTGATCTGGCAGTTGTAATTTTCCACAGGCATTGAGGGTTTTTTTACACCCAGCAAATCTGTACCAGGCTTTTTCCCCTTGTCCCTTTATTTTCAGATGACTAGTCATAGAGCCCATTCAATTCCTATTGAAGCCAGCTGTAGTTTTTCCACTGACTTCATTGCACAGGCCTCTCAATAATCACATTGCCATGGGTATGATTTCAGCTGTATTTCTGTCTTTCAGAAATAGCTTTCGGCAGAGGAGTGCATCAGCTTTGCTTCTCTTCTATCATCCGCATGCCATAGTGGCATGGGAGGCACTTTTTTCAGTCACATCCAATAATTTACGTTTCCAAATTTTCAGAACTCTCTTGATATGTGGAATCCTTATGTGTAGCTAGACTAAACATTTTTACAGCATACAGTGAAAAAAGTCTCAGTGAAACGAATGTTGATCCTAAATTTATACTCCATTATTCCTGTATTACCACTGATTTCAGTGATGTTGCAGTAGTAAAGAATAGCTTGTTTTTCACAAACGGCAGGTTAATAAGGCAGCAGCAGAGAGTTAGTACACCTCTGCTAGTGTGACCTCATCAGAGGACAAGACTCACTAACTGAAACATGAATCTGAATAACATACCCAGAATTTTTGCATGACAGCAGAGACAGAGTATGGGTTTCTCTGAAGAACGCTGATGATTAAGTGTGCAGCAGAAGGAAAAGGAGGAAAAGAAGAAATTAGAGATACCATTGCTACAGTCATGGCCACGGCAGTTATAACATAGCCCTGAACTGCATGAAGACTTACAACACTGTGGCTTTATGTATTTAAAGCAGGTGAAATTTGGGGTTTGTTTTTATCAAATCTAATGAAGCATTTCAGTACTGTGATTCATGGAGGGCTTCTGTCTGTCACATGCCACACTGCATGATTTATTCAGCTTAGCACAATGCATCAGTTCACAGTACTGATGGGAGAAAAAAGAACCAGGCCAAATCAGCTGGGTGAAAAGTCAGTATTTTAAAGTTATTCTTTACCTTTAGAAGACAGACAATTTTTTGCCCTCTCCTATACCCCATTGTGATTTTCTGGGTATGTAAGGGAGTTGGAATGATAGATTTTGTTAATCTAGCTTCACTCTGCTCCTTTCCCTGTGAAGGTCAATCATCCTTTGCACCAGTTTGGGAGAAAAAGCAGCTGGAAAATTCACGCTGTTTTGAACCTGCTGGAGATCCCTCATTTCAGGGAACTCCTAAATCTAAATCTGGCTTCGCATACGCAAAGCAAATGAGGCAGACTACAGGATCCAGAGTTTTTAGTATTTATAATAAAGTAATAAAGGAAAAACAGAGACAGCACATGCTGAATTTGAGTTGTAAAATGAGCAAATATGCACAGGAAAAAAATGGGGAAATGAATGTAGACCTGTTGTATACTAATACTACTGGCTGCAGCATTACTGGAAATAATTGTGACTTTGCTCACATGACTGGTCTTTCTCATGAAAGTATATCATTGCTCTGTGGAGGTAAGAGACCCTTTTTTTTGACCAAATGAACACAACTCCTGCTGTCATTTATGTGAGTGTATTTTGGCATTCTTCTGTTGATTGCAATGCCATTCCAGCTGCACAATCAGAATTTGACTCTCTGACTGTTGATTTTAAAATTTAGTCCTGACATTGTGCATTTATTAACAGATTAGAGATCAAAGTCTGGGAAGTATACTGTGTCAAGACAAAGAAAAACCAGCAAGCTGCTAGCAAGCTGTTTCTACATTTTTGCTATAGAAATGCTACTTTGTCTGCAGTTTGTTATACAGTGAGGTTGAGTGAAGCAAACCAATAACTCGATACACCCAAATGTTCTTTAAAAAACTAAACTTACATTATTACATTGCACTTATTTCCTAAGCCAGGCTCTAGGGTTTTTGGGGGTGGGGGTTGGTGTTTTTTTCTTTCCTGGATTAGTTGTTGTTGTTGTTGCCTTCTATGTAATGTCATGATCTTCTTTTGTTTGGAAGTCTCCAATAGATGGACCCCCACTGATGCAAACAGATGTGGACCAGGATAGTGATTTGAGTAATTCCATTAGACATTGAACTAGGAGCACAGATATTTCCTTTGCTCAAACAGCATTACCAACTGCATCAGTGAACACTGTAGGAATTATGTTTAGTCCTTGCTGCTTCCAGAAGCCCTAATAAAAGCCAGCAGATGGATATGTTAGGTGTCCTGCAACAGTATAGTAATGCTTGCCAGTTCTGATAAGGCTATCTGTCTGCATAGGTCCTACCACAGAAAACAAAAGACTGTCAGTAGACTCAGATTCAGATCTTTTCATGACTTATGTATCTTTGTACTACTATGGCCTAAAGTACTTTGACTGATTTTTCAGTAGCCCACTAAAGCGGTAATCTGTGAGAAGATAGCTGAAGTTTGGACTGGAGAAAAAGTAAGAAATTAAATTATGTTGCCAGCACTTCTTGGAATGGTCATCCTCATGTTTTCAACTCAGTGAGAAAGGGTGAGCACAGGCCAGTATCAGACAATGAACAGAGACTTCAAGGAGCTCAGATCTGAGGACAGCGATGCTGGCTGCCTCAGCAGCCAAAACTGGGTACATTGAGAGAGGTGTTAGAGTGAATCCTTAGAAATCCTTCAAAGTTACTTTCTTTTCTACTATACATGTATTTATCTATATCCTATTTTTTTCTGAATTGTCTTCTTTCAAAATAATGGCAGAAGTAATTGGTGTGAGCTCTTGGTTTCCTGACTTCTGTCTCTACTTACTAAAAATTAACATTGCCATTAAAAAAAAATCTTAGACTGGCATATAGAGGAGGTCATTCTTTTATTCCTCTGTGCCTTGGTTTTCCTGACAGTAAAATCCTTCCATGCACTCTCTGAACTATTTTGTAATCTAAAGATTATGGAACCACATGATCATTGTCACTGTGTACATGCAAGTTCTCTCTGTACATATATTGAAGTATGACAACTTTATTTTTCTTTTACATTGTGTCTTAAGGACCTGTCATTTCCTATACTAAGAGTGTGTTAGTTAAAGAAGTTTAAAATTGTGTCTCTTTGCTTTGTCAACCAATATAGAGAATAATAACATTAGCAAGTACTATAAATTGTGGAAAAGAATTTAGTAGTGTTTAGCTGGTCAAGAGGTAACAGTCTTTCTAGACAGTTTACATCTCAATCTGCAATTAAGCATAATCTTAATTCCAGATTTTCAGAGGATTGGAGATCCCATTAGCTCACTCCTCCTTATGCTGCCTCCCTCCACAAGCTAAATTAGTAACATTTAAATAAATCTGAAGGTAAAAGGGGGAAAAAAGGAAAGAAAATAGGGCCCAATGAATGTTCAACAAATGCTGCAATTCCAATAGCTCTTTGCAACCAAGTTTTCTTTTCTGCACCGCAGTCCTCTCTGAAAGGTCAGAAATATCTCTCACTGTGGTGAAGACTCATTCTGATAAAAGTGGTATAGCTTTTTCTGATGTGTTACTGGAAGGAATAGCTGGGGTCCAGAACAGGAGGGAAATATTTTGGTAATTTGCGAGACCTCTAATAGGTTCCTTTTCCTGAATTTTTTTCTCTTACATTGCTAATTCTTCCATTCCAAGAGTTGGCTACTGCTATTAAAAGCCCACCTTCATTTCACACCTAAATAAGAAAGAAAAAATACAGTAACAATAAGAAAATACCATTGCCAGTAATTCTCCTGTTTCACTTATAGCCAGAGGAAAGTGAATACATCCACACAGCTTCACTTCCCTGGGGCTTGTTTGTATTTCTGTCTGATTTTCTTCCTCTACAGGCCCAGAAGACTTTTTTAGAAGAAAGTATTCCTATAGACCTTAATCCTCCCCTGGTCTCTGTCTACTACTGGGAGCTTTCTGTAGACCTAGCTTTTTTCCAGCATACACTGTTACAAAGTCAACTGGGATACAGTGGCTGTTTTTTCTAAATTCTACATTTATCTTAGGGAATTTCAGGTGCAATCTGCTGCATGTTCAAAGGTCTGACTATTACAAAAATACTATAGAATTCACTAATTATTACTGTAGAAATTGATTCTAAAATGCTAAAAGGTTATCCTTTTTATGTAACATCTCTTCTAAAAAGGGTATTACAGAGTTTGCCTGCTGTAATATCTATTAAAAAAAATTCATATTCATCAAGGAATTCATTTGCTATCTTTAAACCTTTAAAATAAAAGACTGGAAACGGCTTGTGTGAAGATAAATCCATCTGAAAACAATTCTATTTTTTCTGCTGAGGAGTAATTATCTTGAAAATCTGTGGAGCCTCCATTGTGAAAATCACTAATCCCTCTAAAATAATGATTTGTAGCAATGCTCCAGAAGCAACTGAAGCTGCTCAATTTAATAACAAAATCCTCTCTGCCATCCCCAGTTTTGTCGTACTGGGAAATAAAAAACACAGCTTTGCTATGGTTACTTTTTTTCAAAGTGAATTTGATGTTGTTGCCTGATGGTCAGCCAGAGATTGAAATTCTCAATATACTGGGGAGAAAGCTGTGGTGCAGACACAGGGGTCAGTGTTTAGTGTCTTTATCCCCTACTTACATTTGTTGCCAAAGTAGAGTCAGAATAGGAAGAAAATATTCGCAGCTGCTATGATCTGTCAATAATAAGTCAGGGCTGGGGTCAGAGGATGTAGTTTAATAATTGTCTGTGATGAATGCTCGACTGAACAGTGTTTTCTCATTAAGCAGCATGAGTATGATCTTTGGCCTTTCACCAGATAGAGAACAGGAATCTCTTTTAAGGAGTCCGTTTCACAGTTCTAGCATCTCTACCTAATCAGGAACAAATTTCATTTTAACGGTTCCCTTTTTATTTAATTCACTTTAGAACCATCCACTGTGTTTCTCCTGGCCATAGCTTTTGAGCTCTTTTATGCTATTCAATGCCCCCACTGACTTGGTTTTATAACAGTTCCAAACTTAGTGCAAGCTGTCCTTTCAGAGAATGGAGTGCCTCAGTGTGTATTTATACATAACTGGCACTTCATTTTGTGTGCATGTAGCCAACACAACCATAGGCTGCCACTAGTTTCTAGTTCTGTGATCTGTTCATTTATATCTGCTCAGATGAGGTGAATAATGGGATGAAATTGTGCCCACGATGGAATAGTGCTAGTTGGGGTAGAAAATTGTTTGTAATTTTTGCAAATCCCAAGAAAGTATTAGGATAGCCATCATCACACTTTGAGCAGCTGTCCCTAAGAAAAACCTTTTCCTCATTACACACGATATAGTGAACTTAGAAAGCCAGTTGTGCTATTCTGTGATATGATTTGTGGGTGGCTCCTTGCCTGTTTGAAGAATGTTGATGGTTGACATTCAAATTTATTTACTTTAGACTTGCCCTTGACTCAGAAACTGGTAACGCTGTTGTTTTATATGAAAAGCTGCTCCCCTCTCCTCCCCTTCCACCCCCATAATTCTACATAAATAGGACTAAACCCACTGTTTTTAACATGCAAATCATCCCCCAGAGTTTTAGTAATACCAGTTAAGATCAAACATATGCTCAGATATGAGCACTTCCAGTATATCCTACCATGTGCCTCTGCCATAGTCCCAGAGTAACAATTTGGACCCACCTACAACACAGAGAAGTTGAAACTTTGTGGTGGGTAAGGTTAGATAATACACAGTTCATCTGCCTATTTGCAGTCACTCTAAGCAACCCTGGTAACCAGCTGGCATTTCCAAGGCATGAGCCACCTCACCCCAATTAGAAATCTGGAAAGTGCCTGTTACCGTGCATGGACTTTAAATGGAGCCAATGGTGATGAGGCCAGATTTCTATCCTCACTGCTGTTGGCAGAATCATCACAGAATGGTTTGGATTGGAAGGGACCTTAAAGATCATCTAGTTCCAACCCTCTTGACAGGGGTCACTAGATCAGGGTGCTCAAAGCCTTATCCAACCTGGACTTGAACACTTCCAGGGATGGGGCAGCCAGAACTTCTCTGGGCAAACTGTTCCAGTGCCTCACCACCCTGAGAGTGAAGAACTTCTTCGTTATATCTAATCAAAATCTACCCTCTTTCAGTTTAAAGCCATTGCCTCTTGTCTTATCACTGTATGCCCTTGTAAAAAGTCCCTCTCCAGCTTTCCTGTAGGCCCCCTTTAGGTACTGGAAGGCTGCTATAAGATCACCCTGGAGCCTTCTCTTCTCCAGGCTGAACAACCCCAACTGTCTCAGCCTGTCTTCATGGCAGAAGTGTTCCAGCTCTTGGATCATCTTTGTGGCCCCCCCTTGGGTCTGCTCCAACAGCTCCATGTCCTTCTTATGTTGGGAGCCCCAGAGCTCAACGCAGTAGTCCAGGTGGGGTCTCACAGGAGCAGAGTAGAGGGGCAGAATCCCTTCTTTTGACTTGCTGGCCTTGCTTCTTTTGATGCAGCCCAGGATATGGTTGGCTTTCTGGGTTGTCATCAGCTTTAGTGCTGATCATGCTCGTGGGCTGCAGCATTGTCCCCCTACAGCTAGCCTGCTCCCTGAGCCACCCTGCCTCGTGCACAGCTAGCTCAGGTGCCAGCTCTGCGACGCAGGCTTGTCCTGTTCATCATGCAAATGAGGAGCTTGATAAACAACACCTCTTCTTTCTGCAGTGTTTGCATTTAAATGGTGCATGAACGCCACTTGTGAATGATGTTCACATCATATATAAATCCCACATTGACCTCTATTTAGGCAAAACCTGCCTTGAGTTCAGATTTGCATGGAATACTTGACAGGATGACTCCACTCAGATCACAAGCAGGCATTTTTGTACCAGCACTTGGTACAAGCCAGTATTTAGCATAAAGTAAACTGCTTGTGTGGTGTGGTCAAAACAAAGACAAGAAGTGGTCAAAACTGGTTTAGAAGAGGCATAAACATTTTTATGGATTTGTGTGAAGAAGCCAGGTTGGATATATACATTAATGCTCTTGTATATCAGCCTCAAGGGCAGGTGTCTCCTGCTTCTTCTAATCTCCAAAAGAAGCAGCATTTTCCCAAGTGCTGTCTAGTGGTTTACTAATAAACTAATTGACTGCACTTTGCTGTCTGGAGTCCTGAATTTTGTTTTGAGCTTTGACCAACAGATTGAGCAATGCATTCCTGTCAGAGGGTGACGTGATTTCCAAGCCAGACAGCACAGCTCTAGTCAGTGCTGAAACATGCTCCTGTGTGCCCTGCTAACTCTGAACACATTTTACCTTGCTTTACCATCCTCATCTGTTCTGTGCAGGGTCAAACCCTCCATTAAAAAATACAAGTCAAATCAAGAGATTACAGAGTCAGATTTTAAAATACCTCAAAAATAGTTCAAGATCTCTACTGGCAAGAACTGGAGGCAGCTGTGTAATCCTCGAGGGCTGCTATTTTAAGGATAATTCCAAAAAGAGACACAGTATTGTGGCTGGTTATCAGGAGAGTGATATTTGTGGACTATTTTGGTTTGACACTGATAAAAAGAAAAGACAAGGAAAAGACAAGAAAAAGACAAGTTATAAAAGAGGTTGCTATCTCCTGCTGTTCAGACTTCCTTGTACTCATGGTTTGTACTGGGTTATTTTAAATTTGTACTGTAAAAATAGTTTAACTGACTATTTTTAACAAATGCAATTGGAATCGCATGTACAATAATTACTATTGATTTTCATGCCAAATGCAGGATATTCTTCCGGGAGGGTGGTGTATACACATATATGCACACATCTTCTCCTCTCCTTCCTCCGTAAGGAAGTGATTAGTCAATTGCTTTAGTGGAATGACTTGGTTGCTGAAAATTACACAGTTACAAAACCCATGTAGAACTAGGTCCTTCATTCTAGATACTGTACACTGAAGAGACTGGAAATAATTTTATATTTTGCTGTAATTTTTAATTGATTTTTAACCACTTTAGTGTAAAAAAATGCAAATATGTTTTTTCAATTTGTACATTCAAATCAAACTGTGTTATAAAATCACAGCTCTTTTCAGTGGCACAAGATAGTGGGGTAGTATGTGAAACAAAGGCACTTGGTGCAGTTTGGTATGTATTGTACTTGATAATAAGCTACGTACTCAGTAATACACAACACTCCATCACAGAACATGCTTAGTATGTGTACATCTTTTCCCTTATGAGGCAGTGAGCAAGCAATCCTTTTTCACAAATACCTATGCCAAACACTAAATAGTTAAGTAACTAAAGGTAATTAGGAGGCGTAATAGATATTTTGTTTATAAGTGTGGGCATAAGCATTGGAGCTGGTAAGTAAGCTCTGCAATCTTTGATGTATTTGATATATTTACTCAGCTTTTCCCTATGACAGTTCTAAATAGCACTCCAAGCAGCCCAATAGCTTCGGCACCACAAGGAAGCTGTCACTGCTGTCCAAACTGCAATGACAAAAACATCTAGTCTGGCTGCAAACACAGCACTGGAGATTTTGTACTTATTTTTACAACTGTTCAGCATCAAGTTTTACTTTGTTGCCAAGGACTTTCTCATTCCGTGTACTAAAGTAGACAGACAATAGTAAATGCTGGGATGGGGTGCTCTCTGTATGTTGCTAATACACAGCCCTTCCTTTAAAAATGTGGATTTATGCTCCTCCTCATCACTCTTTCATTCTGTTACATTGAAGGGTCGCCAATACCCGTGGGCATTGATGTGCAGGTAGAAAGCATTGACAGCATATCTGAAGTTGACATGGTAAGTTGGTTAGTAGAACTGGACTAAAGAATTTCAGCCAAAATTCAGGGTCTCAGAAACATCCAGCTGGATGATATAGAACAATACAGTTAAAGAAAGCAAACTCTTAAAGAGCACAACCTTGCCTTGAAGCACACAAGTCATTCTCATTTAAACTAGTAAGTGTTATATAAGAACACATGTTGAATCTCTCCCTGGGCAAGAGGAGTAGATCAGAGGGGATAGGGCTCTGATTTGAAAATTCCAACCATTCAGTAAGCCCCATGGGCTTCCACATGAGCTCTTAGTGGTCTGCACATTAGATGATGAGGCTTCATGTCCTTTGCTTCCTTTGCTTATGCAGATCTGAGTATTCCCATGCTTTCTGGCATGGGTGGAGCTGCGGTCATAACAAATGGAAAATCAGTTCCAGGAATGGTCCTAGGAAGGAGACACCCTCACTGCAATCAGGACCTGTAGCACTGGAATGCAGGTGGTTTATGCCTCAGCCAAAATTGTCACTAATATTGCCACCGAGACATCAGAGCCAAGTTGCTCTGTCCTAGAACAGCAGTGCACGTTAACTTTGCAAAGACATCTCATTTACGATATCTTTTCACAGTGAGTGTAACTCTAGTCATAAGTGCTGAGTTTGCAATGGGATCTGTCAGTATGAACCCCTGCGTTCCTTTGCAAACATACCCAAATCATAAAATCATGTTTCAGAGACGTAAAATCATATTACAGGGGAAGATATAAATATCTTCCCAGTGTTCTTATCAGAAGTAATTTTTCTAATGAGATAAATGATATCTGCCTAATAATGCAAGAGTTATATAGGTGTCAGTTATATAGTGCAGAAGCTCAGACTGAATTTGCTGTATCTTCTCCATCTCTTTCCACATATATATTTGCAGTCATGTTATTTCTCTAAATAGCATGATAAAATATTTGTAGCAATCCTTCATATTTTAAAAAAATTGAAATCTTATAAAATTTAATTGTTGACTCTTATGAAATTAATATTATTGTTTCTTTATGGTGCGTATAATTCATAAACGTACTAATCTAAAACCCCTCTGCAATATTTGTACAAAATATACAGATTAATGGATTTTACAAATTGACCGAATGCTCATGAAGAACTCAAATTAATCCCTTTGTAAAGGAACCATGGTTCATTCTGGAAAAAGCTTGTGAAGATTTCCAAAGGAAACCCCTTTCCATTTGCCTCTGGTTGGTTTTAAAGTTTCTTTTTCATTTCACTGATGGCCCAATCCAGCAGACCACTGAAATCTGTAAAAGTTTTATTTAAGTATAAATGATGTGTGAACCTCAGACTCAGACACCAGTGACAAGGCAAACAGCCAGTATATATTTAAACTCATAGAGTGGCATTTGATTCCTCTCATTGAGGGTGCTCCAGATGATGTCCAGAGAAGAAATTGATCCTTTGCATAAGTTTATTACTTTGTACTGTTTTCTATTGTATGTGAATAAAACAAGCATTGTCTTCTTTTATTTTTAATTAAACAAAGGACTTCACAATGACTTTATATCTCAGACATTACTGGAAGGATGAAAGACTTTCGTTTCGTAGTAACAAAAACAAAAGTATGACTTTTGATGGAAGACTGATAAAAAAGATCTGGGTACCTGATGTATTTTTTGTACACTCCAAAAGATCTTTCATCCATGATACAACTGTGGAAAACGTCATGCTCCGAGTATACCCTGATGGCAATGTACTCTTCAGTCTACGGTAAGAACAAGACCCTTTTATAAGAAAATGCAAGACTGCAATTGTGGACCAAAAGTCTGTACAGTGAGAAATTACTGGAAATACTTGCAGTTAAGATTCTGATACTGGACTGGCATTAATCTCCTGGCATCAGATAATGGGAACTGGTGACCAGTGTACCAGTAGGAAAACAAATTTAGGATTGATAGCATATAGATCTATCATTCTATTTTCTATCATTGACATATTGTTTCCTGCCACAGGATAATGGCAGTTTTTTCATGTTGTTAATAGCGCTGAAGTTTATCAAGTGTTAATTCATTGCCAGTGGTTTTAGCAATATTGCAGTAGTTTTACTGTTGAGTACAGTAAAGCCCAAAATTATTAGCAATGAACTAATGTGTTTTTTTTTCCCCTGAGTCTTTTAAAACTGTCTCAGCTATTTTCACCCTGGGATACCTGTAAACATGCCATTTATATTAATTTGGGCTCCAGATAGGCATGGAGACCAGATTATTGGTGCTGATACCAGCAACGTTAGACAGACATGTTGTGTGACTACAAGGAACTGGAAAATGAAACAGGAATTCCAGGACTGGAACAGCAAGCAAGGTCATTAAATGTATCTCCCTTCTATCTACATTACTGCTTTTCTTTCAGAAGTAGATTTGGATGATGTGGCAGAAATAGCTTTTAAGGAGGAATTTTTCCCCTAGGGTAAAGGCCCTGAGGCTTGTGCAGGCAGAAATCACAGTTCTCCAGTTTGTTACTAATTAGACCTGTGCACAGAGGTGATATCATCTAATCTGGGTAGTTTGAAGATTTATGCAAGCACTTCAGATTTTGGCTATGTAATAATAGTTCCAACAAGCAACGAATTTATCTGCCTTCTCATGAAGACATGCAGAAACCCTCACGACAACAGCTGTACACCACTTTAAACTAGTGCATGTTCAAGAATCACACTAACCAGTAAGAAACAATGAGGCGAAGTATGCATTTTATTTCCATGCTTCATGAGAGAGAGGGATCAGAGGAACTACACTACTACGCTAAGGCTTACAGCCGTGGCTTTCCATGTGAGGGGTATGACGTAGATTCTGCTGAGGAAGGAAGAGTGGCAAAGAGACATAAGATGGGCAAACATCCTGTCAGCTTGCTGGAAGGGTAAAGTGTCATAAAGATTAATAGCAAGAAACTGCACAAATGGTTAGAAACCAAAGAGAGCATGTGATGGGAAGGACAGAAATGGAGAGAAAGGAAAAAGTGAGATGGGAGGGAAGGAAAAGCAGGAAGTAGACCTGACGGACAGACACAATGTGAATCCATTTGGTAGGTTTGCACATTGCTCGGAATCCCCTCCGTGATGGGAGCATTTGCCCTGTGTCCTGCATCACATTGCCAAGCTGGTGCTCTACTTTTCTACCTTGCTCTCTTCCTCTCTGCTCCCACAGTTCTCCTTCCCTAACCTTGCCCTAACCCTAACACTATTACCAGCTGGTGTGTGCTGAGTGATGACTCTGCTCTGACAGGTGAGCTCACAGCCAGCCTCACCCTCCTGTGCCAGTGAATAGCAAAGCCTCAAAAGTTACTGCCAAACCTGTGGATTTCTTCCTGGACATAAGTAGAAAGGGCAAATACCCAGTCCTCTTCCTTTCCTTCTCTATTAGTTCTTATCAAACTGAGAGGCAGAGAAAGGGTGACCTAAAAGCTGGTGAACAAAGCTTTTAAGAAAGAAGAACTAACTCTGTCCCAGCTGAAACCAGGACAATGATTAAGGTGATACAATGTGTTTCTAGCCTGAGTGGTGTTAATGCATATGTTCCTAAAGAGTCAGATGCTCATTAAACATCGTTTTTGTATTGCCAGTTTTACATGTAGTTGGTAGGTTATATTCCAGATACTTATTTGCAAGAAATGTGCACATTCCACAGCTTTTCTTCAGTGCCTAGCATCCAGGATTTTACTGAAGCAAAGTGGAACAGAAATCTAGATGTGTTACTAAAATAGTATTATTTTTTTTTTTAATCAACATTTTCTTGTTGTTCCCCTGATGCTTTAGTCAACAGCTAAAAGACAGAACAACATCCATAGTAGGAAGTCTTATGCATGATTTTAAAGATGTACCACTCTTATGATCTCACTTCGAGCTGGTAAAATCTTACACTTGTAGAAATTCAGCTACAGTGTGATCACCAATCACAAGTTTTCAAAGATCACTTATATACCAAGTATATCCCTTATCACTTAACTCCTTGTAGGATTCAGTTTGGAGAAAGCTAAAAAAATCAGATGAAAATATCAAATGACATGCAACCTGTGACAAGAAAGGGAAATTTGGCAATATTTACTATATTTAAATTGCTGCCTCTAGGGTATTTTTTTTATTATTGATTACAATGTCAAGGCATTTGCATGATGTTGAGAAGGAGAGTAGGCTTCCAGAAGTTGCAGCTTTTCTTTTAATGCAATTAAATATTATAACCATTCTAGCTGGGAAAGTAGCAGTTGGAATAATGTTTCCTCTAATCTGTACTATTATCTACCTCAGTCTATGAGAAATCCAGTCAAGAAATGTGTACTCTCCTTGTTAATCTTCATAACTGTTCAAAGCAAAATGTGTGAAAGGCTAATGGAAGATCAGGCCAGTTTAAAAATTGAAGGTAATGTACTAAATAAGAAAGACTATTTATGTTTAAAAAATCTGTTTCTCTCACTGGTTTAGTTTTATCTCCCTATCTTGAAGCAATTTTAGAAGCATCTAAAAAAAGCAGAAAAACTCAATCATTAGAATTCTAAACAGCTGATTGGTTGGGGATCTCATGAAGATATCTGCACAGCTCTAAGAGAGTATGAAATTTTTCATTTAATTTCTGTTTTTCTGTTCCTTTCTGCAGAATAACAGTTTCTGCTATGTGTTTCATGGATTTCAGTAGGTTTCCTCTGGACACTCAGAACTGTTCTTTAGAACTGGAAAGCTGTAAGTTTAATTCATACCTGTTCTTCACATGTGTATTCTTACCAGCACTCCATCTTGTTCATAATACCTTTTTAACTTATTTCGATGTGTGACCCGAACCCTTCAACCTGTGCATAGTAAACTGTGGCCAGTTTGGGATCTTTCCAGAACTCAGTGAGCTTTGGGAAGATAGAAAAACCACAATGTACCCTGCTTTGTTTCAACTGGGTTGATATTCCAAGGCCTAAAGCTAAAAATGTTTCCTCTGTCAAAAATCATTTGTTTTTTTTTCTGAGAAAAAAAGTGCAAGTTAAAAGTAAATAAGATGTAAATATTTGACCTCATGGAAAAATTAAAAAGAGTGCTTGTCTACAGACTCAGTTGTCTGTAGTAAGCTGTAGAGCTGGACAACAAAAGGTAATTCTGTTTTGCAGAGCCTTTTGATATCTCAAAATTTATTCTTATTTGGATTATGAGTAAAACTGGGATGCTGGTTTGTTGTTTGGTCTTGGAAAAGAGAACAGATCCCCAGCGTTCAGGCAGTCTGCTCAGTGTGGCAGCTCCAGAGCCCTGATCCAATGTGCCTTGTGACCCTGAGCATGCCCATGTCCCCCAGCTGTCAGGTTTGCTGGCAGGGCACAAGACTGGGTTCCACTTGGAATAAGATGGAATATGGTCTTTTCAAATTTTTCCATTTCAACTAACTGGCAAATTGATGTGACAAAAATATTTTTTGAGGGTTTTCCCAAATTGTTTGAGTGGTCTCCTATCCCTAAGAAAAGAAAACAGAAGCATTATTCCATCAGAAATGGTGACTTAGTTTTTACTTTCTCGTAGATGCATACAATGAAGATGATCTGATGCTATACTGGAAACATGGAAACAAGTCCCTGAGCACAGATGAGCACATCTCCCTCTCCCAGTTTTTCATCGAAGAATTCAGTGCTTCCAGCGGACTAGCGTTTTACAGCAGTACTGGTATAGTAAGCCCCTGTCATTACAAGAGAGAAGCACAAGACAATCGTGGAGAATGTCATTCACATTTAAATTTGTTGCTAATAAATGACTGTTACTGCTGAGAGATCTCGGTTAAAATGAGGTCTGTCAATCACACTGGTCTGTCAGCTTAGGTCTTCAGTTCTCTTTACATTACCAATGTAAGGCTTTCTTGATATTAGAAGTAGCCATAATAAAACTTGTAACTTAACATCTGAGAAAAACAATATGAAAAACAATGCACAAGAACCAAATATATGCTGTTGTGAGCTCTCACAAAATTGTAGTGCTTCTCTGAAAGCCACTGGAATATTGGGTTTACAGGAATCTTTGGGTCCTGGTTATACAGAAAAGCTTGAAAATGCAAACCCTAGATGGTCAAGTACCAGACAGCAAGCAAGAGGAACCCCAGTGTGTTTTATTGTCTAGAATCTCCTCATTTTTGGAGCTGTAAAATGTCATTAAAAGTCTACTAACTATAAGATTTCTGCCTGAGAGCATTTATAACATATTGAGGTCTAATTCATGGTTTGCTTAATGTTCCATGTTTATACATAAAGTTGCAGGAAAAAATCCCTTTATGTCAGTGCTACATTGTTTAAATACAGATATGTGCCCCAGACAGGTTTTTATTTCTCCCTATAGATTTTGAACTATACTTTCTGGCAAACTGCACAAGGCTTTAAGCGTTTATTATAGTCTTGATTTCACGCAAGGTGGGTTTTATTTTCTTTGTATTTGTACATGCAATTATAATTTTTGAAATACTTCTCTATGTAAGTAGTCTAACCATATGTTTTCAACCAGATAAAACAGCATGCTTGCTACTGTACTTTCCAGTAAAAGTAAATTCATCTCAGTGTGGATATTTCCCTTCATATCAAGGCAGATTAATAAAATAGAAATTATTCCATTTAATATGATGAAATGCACACCACTTTGGAAAAAAGTCTGTAGGACATACAGAAAAGCTGAAAATTGATTTATTTACTGTATTTTATTTGCAGAATAGCTTCTTTTTGCATTTAATAAAGAGCCATTCAAGTTTGCGGTGGCTGATATTGAATGCAGAAATTCCAGTTTAAATTATCATGCAGCCTAAGCAGCGAGGAATTCACAGCTTGATCAGGTTCTTCATCCTTATCTCTTGCTCGTGTATGAGCTAAGAACAGAGCTCCAGCTTTCAAGAGCCACTGTCATGTGAGAAGAGAGCAAGTGATACCTTACTATCATAACTTTGCCTTGCTGAGAGCTACGTCAAATTTGCCCTTGTTGCAAGAAGGAGGCTGGGATGTTTTCCACCAGACTGCTATCACTGTGTGTTGAAACCGGGTTCCGAGCACTCAGCTGGCTTCTTTCTGCACTGCTATTCTCATCCAGCCTTGTGCACAACAGTGCAACCTCATACCACCCCTGTACCCAGGCCAGGCCTGTGCAGCACCTTCACAGCACCTTTGACTTTGCAAAGTGTAACTGCTTAATGCTTACATGCAGAGGTTTTGATGATGAGCTTACTCAGCAGGGTAAAGGTGAAAGGAAAGATTTTTTTTTTGTCACAGGGACCACTGGGAAGTACCTGAATAATGAGTGTACCATATCTGTTAATTAGAACACTGCCCTTTGTAGACATACACTTTTCTTTGGCTTTGAAGTTTTGGTTCGGTTAGGAGGTTCCGCTTCCTCTTGTTCTTTTATTTTGCTTCGTATTGAAAGAAAATGATTACACACAAACCCTGCCCCCAAAGTAAGTAACAGTGGGGAACAATCAGCATGACTGTAATGGGAGCCATCTCCCCCTGAAGAGTCTTGGGCAAAACATGAACAAAAATGCTGCTCACAAAGCAGCCTTATGCATTTTAGGTTTCGTATATCCTTGCCTGTGAATCTCAGTGAACTACACATGTGTAGCATTTAGGCTTTTGGAGTTGCCCAGCTTCCAAAGGAGCAACAACGTCAATCCATTTTTGAGATAATCATTTTTAAAACCAAAAACCTTCTCCACAACTGAAACACATAGAGCGTGTTTAACATTAGACGGGGTTATCGTTGAGATAGTTGTTTTTATAAAGTCTCTCTTTGCGATGGCATGACTGCTCCAACACAGGTTCATCGATGTCTCTATTTGTACTGGAGAGGCAGATGCCGTGCAGGCAGCCACTTTTGTCTTCGTTTCACCTCACTATAAACCGATTTCCCTCCCATCGCAGGAGATCCAGCACACATTGCTTTGCCGCACAGACAGAGCATGCCCCAAAATGCACTAGATGGCACCCTTTCCTCTAAAGTCGACGTCGGAAAACAAGTGCTGCTTGTCACCGGGTGTTCGCAGCCGGAGAGAAGGCAGACGGCTTTCTGGGGGAGGCAGGGTGTTGGCTTCGCCGTCCTAGCTGGACTGGACAATATTCTGTCTGTATTTCCCGACAGTTTCACTTGCAGTCTACTTACTTTTTTTTTCCTATTTCCTAACGTCAATTATAATATAGTATTTTATTTATGCAGTCCTGATGCTTCGCTCTCAAGGCAGCAGTATTTGAATGAGGTACGATGGACAGATTGTAAAACGCTGTATAAACCCAAGATGGTGGCAATATTTCTTAGGCGTTTAGTATTGCTGATGTAGATACTCCATTCCTGCCGGAAGGAGGGGGCCAGTGAACAGAGCTCACAAATAACACAGCTGTCTCCTCTCCTCCCCCAACCTGTTCCTCTCTCTTTTTTCAATAGGTTGGTACAATCGACTTTTTATAAACTTTGCACTCCGGAGGCATATTTTCTTTTTTGTGCTACAATCCTATTTCCCAGCTATGCTGATGGTGATGCTGTCTTGGGTTTCATTTTGGATTGACAGAAGAGCCGTTCCTGCCAGGGTATCGCTAGGTAAAGCTTTAATGTATATTCTTTTGGGAAGTATAGAATAGATAGGGGAGAGGTTTTGAAGTTGCCTTAGTTTCCTACATATGCAGGACATGAGCAAGTATATCAGGTAATTGCCTGAACAGCACTATTATTGCCACTGTTGTCGCTACCACAAACTCCTTTAGTCAACCTCTACATCTGGAAATGGATGTTTGTTCAGACTGGTTTTACTATGTTAGAAAACAAAAACAGCTCACACGCGACAGAAGGAAAAAGGGATGATTCTGCAGATTTCCCTATATAGAATTTTACTTTCCCCCCACCCCGCAAACACTGGGTTGGTTTTTTTCCTCTCCTCTTTCCAGCAAAGTAACAGGTAGTAACAGGCAGTCAGATCCCTCCCCAAATCCGTGGTTCATGAGAGGTACTTAATAGGCATAGCACAATCTATCTAAAAGCTTTGCAGCTCTGCTTTCTCTCTAGAAACATTTGATAGCTTCCTACCAACTTGCAAACAGTTTCCTGACTTGTCCTACGTAGCAAAGCCTTTCCTTCTTAGGCACTTTGGAAATGTTTGCTTTGGTGCCTTACACGTGCAAGGCACAAAGGCTGCAGTGGAAGACGAAGAGTAAGCTGGGCATCTTTCTTCTCTCAGTTTTCGTTCTGAACACCACAGCTCAGGAGAAAAAGACTAATTAGTGTTTTTTTTATAACGTTTTTGTTTTTCTCAGTGATGAATCAGTTGATACCACTTCAAGACTGCCTTTATTGGGAATTTAATGCTGATGGCCTTGGAACGAATACCTTTTTTCAAAGATTAGCATCTCTGGGAAGATCTGATGGAAATTTGTTAAGATATCTAACGTAGTCATAATGCATCTGAGTCCTGCAACTGTCAGTTTAAGAACTAGTAAGGAAGCTCCTGTTCTTTCTTCTCACTGATGCCAGTTCCAGAAGCCAACTGTATGCTGCCATATTTCTTACAGAAGTGAAAATTTGAGGATCTTCGTTTAAGACACAAACTTGCATGTACTGAGGGCGCCCTCAATTTTTATCTATAGCTATATCAACCTAGAAAAAAGAGGAATGTAGCTACCTCAGATCCCTTTCTATTGGCACAGTCTAAAGCTATTACTACATGAGACATAAATCTATTTGTTAGTCTAAAACCAAATTATGGTACCTCCTACCTATTTTTATTAATGCATCTTTCAATTCCTTTTATTTATAAGAAACTTAACTTCATCTTTAAAAATAAAGTTGTAATTCTCAGTAGGTCATTTGTAATGTTGTCAAGACAGTTTTGCTGATCATGTTCTTTAATTTATATATGGATTTCTGCAGAAGGTTATGCATCAGGAGTTCTATGAATAACACATATTTAATTAGCATAAGCATACATAATTTATAGGCAATGTTAACAACAAAGTTTAAAAAGCTTAACTCCCTAGCCTAGAGTATACATATTTTAAATAAATTAATTTCCTCTTATATGATATATTTCAAACTCTATCGTTTGACTTAAGGAACTTGCAGAGAGGGAAAGGGAAAATGCTTCTATGTTCCAGTGGACTTGAACTTGCGTAAAATTGGAGAAAGGCGGAGAGACCCAGCGGAAAGGCCATGTTATCAGCCAGTGCCATCTCACAGATGTTATTGAGATGTCTTCACTTTCAGCATTACATTCATTTCTTTAAAAAGCAGGCCTGAGTTGGGTGTTGGTGTTTTCTTGTTTTGGTTTGGGTTTTTTGTTGTGTTTTTTTTTTTTTCCTGAGATATGGCAAAATTAAATGAGATGAATAGCTGCATGTTAGAGGAGAGATTGAAAAGATGATGGTGAAATTCTGGACACACTGAAGTAAACACATGGGCGTCCCTGCCCATGACAGGGAGGTTGGATTAGATGATCTCTGAGGTCCCTTCCAGACGATGCCATTCTATGATTGTATGATTCTTAGTTTCAATGGATATAGCATTTTGATGCTAGTGCATTTTTAGAGAGCTATGGAGTTATGAGAGAGACATACAAGCTGATATATGTTCTCAAGAAGTACATTTTGAGAAGGGGTTGGGAGGGAAATTGGTGATTCTTTAGTGATTCTCCAGGACAAGAATGTGTGTAGTGGAGACCCTGGCTCTGGCAAGTGAGGGAAAACCACAAACCTGTTTTCACTTCTCCACAGCAGTGCCTAAAGCTGTCATAGAAATGGGTTCCTTGTGCTGCTGAATCACCAGTGTTGTGACCCCACTGTTGGAATCTGGTGTGCCGCAGCTCTAACTGCACGCACTGAGCAGAGAGATGATTTACTGGTTTTGGTATTGTATGTGATAGGTCCTTCATGGTTCACTCCACTTTTCAGAGCCTGTGCAATGAAGTTAGAGGCAGTGTCAATCATATGCCCTCATAAAGCTGTGCTGTCCAAGCAATGATGATGAGCTAAACAGAACCAGCTGGCCAGTATTATGATAACCTCCCCTTTTTCTTCGGCAGGTATAACTACAGTGCTGACAATGTCAACCATCATGACAGGAGTAAGTGCCTCAATGCCTCAAGTGTCTTACATAAAGGCTGTGGATGTGTACTTATGGATCAGCTTCCTTTTTGTCTTCCTGTCTGTCATCGAATATGCAGCAGTGAACTATCTCACCACAATTGAAGAGAGAAAGCAACTCAAAAAAAGGGGCAAGGTACAATCCTCTGTGTTTTGTTGCCTTCAGAAAGCATCACAGAAGCCACAGAGTAATCCTGATACACCACTGTGATAACAGTACAGTAACCATCTCTCTGACACCACTCTGTATCTCACTTTTCTTTACCTGACTGAAGGGAGGAAATGTTATCATCCTCCCAGAGATCTTGAGGTCTGTGCTTTCTTTCCTTTTTCTTGTGGCAGAGGTTAGAGAGTACATCTCCTGATCTTCCCCCCTGCCCCCCCTCCAAGGAAGGAAACCTTCAGTCTGTTCTCAAATCCCTACTGGTAAATGTTTTTTTCCTCTCTCTGAAATATACCTCAGAATGCACTGATATAATATTACCTCCTGTTTCCTGTGAAGCAGACTCTATTTATCCTTCTCCTGTTCCACCATTTTCAACTACGAAGATGGGTTTAATGATACCTTTTTGTCCCAAGACCATACGAATGACAAGGTCATTTTCAGAAAGATGTGCCTGAAGCAGACGTGTTCACAAGTTAAACATTTGCTTTCTATGAAGCACTCACTTAAAAACTTTGCTTTGTCAATATTCCCCTATATAAACTCATTTGTTGGTGTATCACAAGGGGAAAAACACAAAAAGAGTGCATATGTTGCTCAGATGGTTTGATAATCCCATCAAAAAACTACTCATGGAAATGTTTGAAGTCATTTCCCACAACTCCAGCAACGCAGACCTACAGGAGAGGCAGAGTTTGATTTTTCTGTTTCAGACGCTGGGGCACATATTGCCAGCCAGAAGCTGGCAATAATCAGTCAGACCAGCGTGTTTTATCGCACGTATCCCCTTCCTCGCTCATGTCCCGCGCAAGGCGCCGGGGCCCCACGGATAGCAATACTGTGAGGTAGCCCTATTCTCCATGCACTCTCCATAGAGGGAACAACACTGAAGAGAAAGATTCCTTTATTTTCTGTTTTATTTATATATACTTTACTAAAATGGCTCCTGCTAGACACAGAATAATTATTCTTTGTTGCCAGGCTTCAGGAATGTATATTGATGCAGTGCAAGCAATGGCTTTTGATGGCTGCTTTCACGACACGGATGTGGACATGGACCTGACTGCTTTCTCAGACCGCTGTGAAGAAAATGAGACTCGAGCACGTACAGCCAGTGTCTCCAACATGGACACAACTCGCATAAAGAGGAAGAGATCTCTGAAGGGAAACGTGGGCAGGATTATTTTACAGAACAATCATGTTATTGACACATATTCTAGGATTATATTTCCCAGTGTGTATATTGTGTTCAACTTTTTTTACTGGGGTTTGTACATATGAACAAAAACCATTACAAGCTAGACATTTTGCGTATGAGGGTAGCATTGGGCTTTAAAAATAATGCACCAGCAGAAGAGGAAAAGGTTAAAAGTTTCCGAAACTGACTTCTGCGTCACACCAAGGTTGGTTTGAATAGCAGCAAAACAGTTAATGAAAAACTCTCATGACTCTGGTGTGTTTTTCAATTGGACTGTGCAATGCTTCAACCTAATGCACACACAGTAGCGTACAAGCAGTTTGCTCACTAAAGGAGACCTTTGTCACACACCTAAACAGACAGCAGCTCCCACCTCAAATATTATCCAGTCTCTACCTACACTTTAACCATTCCTCTTTAATCAGCCTCTCTGTTCTCCACTTGTGGCCGATTTTAGTAGTAAACTGGCACCAATTATCTTCAAATAGCTCCTATCCTGATTTTGCTTGCTGCATTTCCATTTTGCTAGGCAACCTGTATGCACCTCAGGAGCCTTTATCCTCAGATGGCAGCTGGGGGAAAATGATGATGGCTTAGCAGTGGAGTAGGGACCAGCAGAAAGCAGGAAGCAAAGCTGATGGGGCTTTATGCACTGGGCATCATCACCACCTCAAGAAGAACCCTCACCCTGTCAGCTGTCCCTGACTTTCCACAGGACCATTGGGAAGGGCCTCTGTTTTGCAGGAATTTTGATCACTCGTCCTAGAGGCAGTACAGGAACAACATCCCAGACCCAATGCACTCAGTGTCTTACAGCCACCTCCCAGGTGGATGACTAGTGTCACCTGCACAAGCTTCACCCCTCATGTGACACCCACACACCTGTGCCTCATGTAGACCTGCTGCAATCACCTGCTTTCTGCGAAATGGTTCATTTCAGAAACATAGGCTTTGAGGCAGAGATTTTAGACACTCTGTCAAGACAACAACCAACCCATGTCTTCAGCAGAGTCAGGTTCTTCTGCTTTATGTTGCATCCATGAGCTTGAAGTTTTGCCCTCCCACCCTTTGGTTTTTGAGATTGAATGTTACAGTGAGGAGAAGCTACATATGGCTGCTTGTGGCATTGATCCCCAGCACAGTTCACGATACCACACCGAGACACATAGGAAATAAAAGGAAGCAGCTGTGCCAAAACAGAGCCATAGAGAGGAATCCTGTTGGTCTCAGATGAATCTGACATGGAAATAACCTTACATTCAGGCTAAGGGAGGTTCAATTAAGGATGCTCAGGGACACAGAAAAAGTATTCCTAGCTCCAGAAAAGAATCAAGATTACTTTTGCAACTTTCCCAAATAAGGAGCATTTTCCACTTATATCTCTTGGGTTTGTCTGTCATTTAATGCAGTGAGTTTAAATTTACAAAGTCGGTTCAAAACAGTAATTTGTGGTGGCAAAAAATGTCACCAAGTAAATGCTTGGTCACTGCTTGGTCAAGAATAGGAAATGGGAATAAATTTGGAAGCCTGGAAACCACTCTCTGGTTTGTTTGATTTTCCTGGGCTGATATTGTTTGCTCATAGCGTGGTGATGTCTTTCATGGTTTCAAAAAGCTGCGTATGTCAAGCTCCCAATTACAGAGCTGGAGAAGCTGGTGACACATTGTACGCTGGGTGATTGAAATCTGATAGAGTGAGTGGGTACTTTGGCAGCCAGTTCTCTGCCAAACAAATGATCAGAGCTGAGATGGCTTTGATACTCTTCCAGGAAATCCTGTCATGGAAAGCAGAACCGTACCAGGAATGACAATGCTGGGAACGCAAAGCCAAAGACACGCAGGCTTTGGCAACGGCAGCAGCACGCTAGAACTCAAGCTGAGCCAATGTGTAATATAGATGTATAAAAAAATTACCATGGCATCCTCGTTACTGCACTGCCATTATGGAGGCATCCTGCACAGATGTTCCAAATTGCCTGAGAAGATCCCTCTAATTGGTCCAGATGCGTGTTTCCTAAACTTTTCACATAAACTAACATAATACCATTGTTTTCACATAGATTTTTTTATCTGCCTTATGGGAAGAGGTGTTTGTTCTGTAGCCAACAGCGAATCCTTAACCTTCAACAGAAAAAATACTCATGTGCTTGAGAAACCAGTCCCCTCTTCTAAATTTCTTACAGGATCTGCAGCAGCAAAAGCCCCGCAGCGCAGCATGCCCCAGCCTCATGCAGGCTGTCCAGCAAACAGGCCCACACATGGAAGTGTGGAGGAAAAGAGATTCCTGCCTGCCTTCACCTTTCAGGCACATCCTATACACGTGCCTGAAAGCTGCCCATGCTTCGATGGAGGAAACAGTTACTTTGCAACTGTGAATATAACCATTGGCAAAGTGTTCTCCCCGCAGAGAGTACTACATAGCAAGTTTTATTAAGATAATACAGCAGATTGCATGTTATGATGATGAAACTTAGCTGCATACTTTTACAGCCAAGCTTATAATTTCTGTTTTCTTAATGCAGTGACAGGGATGATATCAGGATCAATTATATTTCAGAAATCTATTGCTTGTATAAACAGTAAAAAAAAAAACCCAAACAAACAGTATTTAAATACATTATTTCTTGTTTAGAGTGCGTTAAAGTGCTGACTAAAACTCACATGACCCTCTTCTGAAGCTTGTGTTATCTTCCAGAAGAGGAGGGTAATAAATACTTTTAGTCAATTTGTCTAGACAGACCAGCATGGAAGTCTTTAAAAAAAAGTATTCACAAGTATTTCCCATTCCTGTTATTTGTGGCTGGTTTTGCAGTCAGTCAAATGTATGGGTTTTACTTCCCACAGCGTTTACTAAAAGTTAAAACATCACAGCTATTATGTAAATACGTATTTGTTTGAGTATTCATCCTAGTGGTATTCAAGCAGTTATGCTGAGAGTACTTTGTGGATTTTTCAAACAGATTTAACAGCTCGTATGGCTTCTATGACCAGCTGAGGTGCAGGATGTGGCCTCCCTATTTTTAGCTCTGCTGCTACACCCATCTCTAGTAAGAAAACATCCTGTAAGTGTTAATGTAGGTGATGAAAACTCTCAAGTCTGGGGAACTACTTCATTCTTCAAAGCATTGTAACTCTCATGAAAGAAGGAGGCAGAATTTAATGCCAGTGACTTGTTTTTCAGAGAGCTACAAAAATGTAAGCCTTTGAATATTCCAAATTTAATACATTTTGCAAAGTGTCCTGAATGTTGAGTGACATTGTGATGAACTAAAAATGAGTCAGAATTAGAAAGTAGACAATGTCTTCTTTTTCTTTGAAAGTCACAGCCCAATACAAGAAAAATGCTTTATATGGAAACTTAAATTTTACTAATTTGCACACATTTGTACAATTAGGATAACCTTAGGATTCACTCCTGCCAAAATCTCTCTCCTGGTAACCCATCCACATGCTGATCAATCTGTATTTCATGATGAAGGGGCCACAACTTCCTGATCAGCTGGTGGTCCAGGTGGTTACGGAGCAAGGACTAAATAGGATAAGCAGTGTTTGCCTTCTTCTGTCCTCCATCCCCTTTTCCCATGTATTACATTTTGCCAGTTTCTCTGTTCAGCATGTAGGAGCTGGCTGGATGCATTCATGAACGCAGAACCCACTGGAATCACATAATGTTCCATCCAAAAGATCCAGCTAGTGCCACGGGGAAGGAGGAGTTATTACTGTGTGAGTAACAACCACACCAGAAGGAGGAACAGGACTGCAAACCCACTTTCTATAAAGGGAGGGATCTCAACCAGTATTTTAGATGCGAAAGGCTCTATTATTTCACTCCTCAAGTTGTTGACAGAACACAGTCCCCTCTCTTAACTGTCATTGAAATGTCCTAGTAACTTATACCAAATACAACTTTCTACTTACATTAGCCATGCATTGTAAGGCTGCTGAGTTTTCCAAAATTCACCATTTGCTGGCAGTTCTGCTTTGTATGCTTCAAGCTATCAGCACACAAGAACGAAACTTTAGCAAAGCCTACCTGACAATTTTTCTAATGTCTTTCAGCTAATGTAAATTACACGAATAACAGGCATCTTTAATAAAGATAACTAAAAATATTTCTAGAAGTTTTCACGTGCTCAGTGAGGATTCTAAAGATTTCTTTGAGGGAGCCTGAGGGGGTCTAGAACAAGATTTTGGTCCAGGAAAAAATGACGCAGCTAAAGCCCAGGCACTTTTGTGTGTATGAACTAAAATTTTATACAAATAATCACAAGGTTTTATGTTATATCTCCTACTTTAATCCACATAACAACTTCACTGGAGGTACTGTTGTGTAATTTCCTATTGGTTTCAAGAAAAGGAGTATTTTTCTCTCCCGCGCATACGTGCTATATAACTTGTGTAGATGGAGAAGAAATACTTCTTGCACAGATTATGTTTTCAAGTGGTGACTGCTTTAAAACTATTTAGTCTGGGAGTTAAAAAAAAAAAAAAGGTTGACATCAAGTTCTCGCCACTAAGCGAAGTTAAACGGCATGGAACAGCGGGCACCGTCACCGGCCGATACCAGCGAACATCATTCCCGCTCAGTATCTTATCAGACGTCTCTCTCTTCACCCTCAGCGAGCCCCGGCAAAGCGCTGATCGCTGCCAACCGCGCTCCTCCACGGGC